ATCCGAGACTTTGTCCAGCAAAGACTCGACTTCAGACACAAGTTTGTTCCGGTACTCAGTGACGTTTTCCCGAGAAATATTGGCACGGCCGGTGTATAGAGCATCACCAGTGCTGTCATCCGCATAGCAATGAATGCTACCGGCTTGCAACATATCATTGATATGCAGAAGAAACAGCGTTGGTGATAGCACGCAGCCTTGTGGAACACCAGTGTTAATAGGCTTGTAGTCGGAGCATGCACCGTCTACAACGACCTTGATGCTCCGATCTGCAAGAAAGCTGGTGATCCAATTGCATAATTTCTCGGGAAGCCCATACGAAGGGAGCTTCGAAAGAAGCGCTTTGTGCCAAACCCGATCGAAGGCCTTCGCAATGTCCAGACTAACGGCCAACGCCTCCCCCTTGGACTCTACTGCCTCCGCCCATCTATGGGTCAGGTAGACCAGAAGATCACCAGCTGATCGACCCCGACGAAAACCGTATTGGCGGTCACTAATCAGCTGGTGATCCTCAAGGTACCGGATGAGCTGGCTGTTAATAATGGATTCCATTATTTTGGAGAACAAGGAGGTGATCGCGATAGGCCTATAGTTGGACGGGTCTGAGCGGTCGCCTTTTTTAGGGATTGAGTGGACAAAAGCTGTCTTCCATGAATTCGGGACTACGCCTTGGGAGTAGGAGTACCGGAAAAGACGCGTTAGGACCGGTGCCAACTCCGGAGCACACGTCCTCAGCACAATTGGGGGGATTCCGTCAGGCCCACTCGACTTGTGGATGTCAAGGGAGAGGAGTGCTCTGCGAACCGAGCGCTGTGAGAACCGCACATCCGGCATGGAGCACTCACACCGCGGGATGGTCGGCGGTGTGTTCCCCCCGTCATCAACAGTCGAGTTGGACGCAAAAAAGGAGCTTAAAAGGTCGGCCTTCTCTTTTGCGTCGTGGGCCAGTGAGTCGTCCTCCCTGTGCAGAGATGGTAGTGATGGCTTACAGAAATTCCCTTGGACAGCCTTGGCGAGAGACCAGAATGCACGGGTTCCCGAAGGAAGGCGAACTAGTTTCTCGCCAATTCTGCCCATGTGCTCTGACTTTGCCTTGGCAATAACTCTTTTGAAGGACCTGGAGGCGAAGTTATACTTCTTTTTAAGTGTGCTGGTATTTACATCCCGAGTCGCCGAAGCCGCAGCCCAGGCTTGATAACACTCCTGCTTACTGCGTAATGCAGTCTTACAGGAGCGACCAAACCAAGGCTGAGATCTGCCTCCGATGGGTACCACAGATGATGGAATAAATAGTTCCATTCCCTGTAGCACCACATCAGTGACAGAGTCAGCAACAGCGCTGGGATCATCCGGCGAGAAGCAAACCCGCCCCCATGGGTAGGAAACAAAGAAAGACCGCATTCCGTCCCAATCCGCCGACCTGTAATGCCAAACACGGCGGCAATCTGCAGAACGCAACCGCGAGGGGAGCGTGAGTGGCACCACACTCCGGATCAGACAATGGTCCGAAGAGCCAAGAGGGGCATCGACGGAAACCTGATATCCGTCCGGATGAGAGGTCAGCAGAAGGTCCAACAGGGAAGGTGTATGATCCTCAACATCTGGACTCCGCGTAGGCGAAGTAACCAGTTGTGTCAGACCATATGCCAAGGCAAAGTCATAAACAGATCTCCCCGCATGATCGGTTAAACGTGAACCGAGCCATTCGGCGTGGTGGGCGTTAAAATCGCCAAGGATCACGATCTCTGCGGATGGGACCTGTTGTAGCAAGGAATCTGTAGCCATTTGGACGTGGTCGATGAGTCGGTCTGTTTCGGCATTACCGCTATGGGACCTATAGAGGCACGCGTAGACGCGCGGATGGATGTCGCTGTCTACGCGTAGCCAAAGGATGGACAGGTCCGAACCTTCAACACTGCCGAGGCGTCGAGAACAGATGTCCTCTCTGACATACACGCAAACTCCAGCCCGAGGCACAAAGGAGTGCTCCAATTTGTACCCCGGGTAGGAGAGATACGAAGTATCAGCCGGAGAGGACACCTGCGTCTCGGTCAGAAAGAGCAAGGCCGGCTTCGCCGTCTCAAGATGGTAGTGGACGGCGTTTAGGTTCGAGTGAAGTCCCCTGATGTTGCAGAAATTCACGGATAGCGTGGCAGGGGTCGCCTTGGTCTTGTTGCTCAGTTTGCCACGAGCAGTTATTGTGTTGAGCGGAATTTTGCCCCCCCCCCCCCCAGAATACGCGGGGCAGCCTGAGCACCCACGCTCAGGAGTGGAATAGCATGGTCGTGGATGCTCAGCGAGGGATTCTCCAGGGGTACTGGTACCCTCCTGGGGTAGTTTATGACGTAATTCCGCTACCATGTTGATGGGGGGGGGGGGAATTGGGCCTCCGGTCACCTGCACTCACCAGACGAAACGCGGAAGCAGAGCTTCCACTTCACGCCGGTATTCTGTGAGGTCGTGGTACTAACCCGGCTCGAGCCGGCCCATACGTGCAACAGCAAAAGCTGCTGCAAGGCTCTACCACCGTTTAAATATAAATAAAAATAAATTATATCCCGCGATTAGCTTTCACACTGTGAGATAATATATCTTTTAATCAGTGTACGTTCGTCATTTGATCACCCTTGACCTTGAGCTTCCTCATCCGGCCAGCAGTGGAGGACCACGTCTCAGTTCCATATGTCATCACTGGCAACACGCACTGGTTGTACAGTCCCGTTTTCAAGTTTTGAGGTATACCTGACGAGGTGTGCCGTAATTTCCCGAACACTGCCCAGCCGACTTGAATCCGTCGATTGACCTCCCGGTCGAAGTTGAACTTACCTAGTCGGACTATTTGTCCCAGGTTAACATACTCGACAACAACTTCGAGCTTAGTGCTCCCAACAACTACCGGCATAGATGTGTCATGGACGTTATACATGATATTTGTTTTGACCATGTTCATCTTAAGACCTATCCGTTGGGAAACACTATTGAGGTCATTGAGCATAGTGCTTAGGTCCTCCATCGATTCTGCCATAAAGACTATATCGTCGTCAAATCGAAGGTGAGTGATGTACTCGCCGTTGATGTTAATACCGTATCCTTTCCAGTCCAGAAGCTTGAAAACGTCTTCCAATGTGAAGAGTTTCGGGGGTATAAAGTCACCATGTCTTACACCTCTCTGCATTTGGATATCTTTCGTACTCTGGTTCTGTACTCGGATAGCCATCGTAGTCCTACTGTACAAACACTTCAGCACTTCGATATACCGACAGTCAACTTTGCACCGCTGAAGGGACTGCAGCACCGCCCAAATTTCGACGAAATCAAAGGCTTTGTCATAATCCAAATACGCCAGACAAAGTGGCAAATTGTACTCCTCGGACTTCTTTACAATTTGCCGAAGGGTATGTATGTGGTCTATGGTGCTAAAGCCTTTTCGGAAACCGGCTTGTTCACGAGGTTGGAAGTCTTCGAGTCTGCTCGTACATACACTGATCTCGATTATTGCCATTCTAAGAATCTACTTATTATATTTAATTTAAATCGGTTCCAACGTAAAGGTTACAACATACAACTTTCACAGAATGGATATAATATTAGAAGGAATCACGAAACTTAAAGAATGCGGTCAGTTTCAAATGATAAAAATTAATTTTTAATTTAAAAAAATTCAAATTATTATTATTACTTTATTGGATATTATGTTTTGCATTAAAACTAAGGTTCGGAAGGAGATAAACTATTCAAATAAAACATGAAATTAAAAATGCTTATTAAATAATGTTACGAACTTGGGGTTCGAGACAATTAAAAACTGCCGATTGAATTACCAAAATTAACACTTTAATTACACAACACTAATTACAATCTAAAATCACACTAATAATAAAACACAGTTCGCCGTTATTTCGCTTCGAAGTATTCTCTTGTATCGCCAATTCAATACTGCCCCGGTCGTGGTCTATACCGGCCTCATATAGGGCCTCAGATAGTTTCCAGAACCTTCTACTGTAGCGACATCTAGAATGTTCGAGTACATATCGGTCCCGAAATTTCTGGAAGGATCTCGACTCTCCTAGTTCTGCTACTCGACACTAGAGGGCGCTAGTGTGACTAGTGTTGCCATGTGCAAGACATTAATAGTGGCGCGCAATACTTTCATTTACTCGACACTAGGGGGCGCTAGTGTAACTAGTGTTGCCATGTACAAGACATTAATAGTGGCGCGTAACACTGCCCCCTCCTAAGACATGCTCGTCCCGAGCATTATTGACCCCATAATAACGCGCCAGTCGATCCACATGGACAATCTTAGGAGTACCTCTGGCACCTTTCTGTATCCGGTAGGTTACATCATTGATCCTTGTCACAATCCGGTACGGTCCGTCCCATTTAGCTTGAAGCTTAGGAGATTTCCCTTTGCTGCGAACTGGATTGTGTAACCACACTAGTGAACCTTCATCAAAGCCCTTGTTGTTCATTTTGCGGTCATACCGTGTTTTCATCTTCTCAGACGTTTGCTGGCCCGTCTGTCTGACGTGCTCATAAATGTCATTCATTTTGTTCCGCAAGTCATTTGCATAATCGGTTATACTGCGTGGGGCATCAGGTGGTATTCCGGTGATCAGGTCTGCAGGCAGCCGCAATTCTCTCCCAAAGTTTGCGAAGGCTGGTGTCACTGATGTACTTTCGTGAACAGCGCTTCGATATGACAACAAAAACGGTTGTATGTGCCTGTCCCAGTCTCGTTGCCGTTTTTCCACAACTTTTGCTAGGTACCTCTCCAATGTCTGATTAAATCTTTCTACCATTCCATCAGATTGTGGGTGGTAAGAAGTTGTTCGTGTTTTCTGAGTACCCATAACTCGGCAAGTTTCCTGGAATATTTGAGACTCAAAATTCCTTCCTTGATCGCTGTGAATCTCTAAAGGTACTCCAAAACGACAGAAGACTTCATGAACTAGTTTATCTGCAACTGTTGAAGCTTCTTGATTTGGAATGGCGAAGACTTATGGCCACTTAGTGAAGTAATCCATCACAACCATGAAATACTTGTTACCACTTTCACTTTCCGGAAACGGCCCCGCAACGTCAATGGCTATCCTCTCCCATGGTGCACCTACATTGTACAATTTCAATGCGCCTCTACTACGAATTTGAGGTCCCTTTACAGCCGCACAACTTGTACATTTGCGGCACCAGTCCTCGACATCGTTACGACAGTGGACCCAGTAAAACCGTTCTCGGATCTTCAGGAGAGTTCGTTTAACTCCCAGGTGGCCTCCTGAACAACCACTATGGTACAGCTGTAGAACATCCGGCACTTTAGCCTTAGGGACAACCATTTGCAAATGACACCTGTCTCCCCGACCATTTTCCCATTTACGGCACAGGACTCCATCTTGAATCAGCAAGCTGTCCCATTGGGCCCAATAGCTTTTCGTGGTCGAACTCATTGCTGAGACGTCGCTCCACTTGGGCTTAGGAGCACTGGCCTTCATCCATTCCAGAATCGGCTTAATGTCCGAATCTCCCTGCTGTGCATGTTGTAGGCTGACCTTCCACTCATTGCTGAGCTGGTCTGTCCTGAGCATTCTCACAGATACCACTTCCTTACCCTCTTGCCTAGTACAATGCTTGCAATCTTCAGGGCAAGGTCTTCTTGACAATGCATCTGCATTGCCATGAGATTTCCCGCTGCGATGTTCGATCACAAAGTCGTATTCCTGCAGTAGTTCTATCCATCTCGCAACTTGTCCTTCCGGATTTTTGAACTGCAATAGCCATTTCAGTGCAGCATGGTCAGTTCGTAAGTGGAATTTCCGCCCTAGAAGATATTTGCTAAAATGCTGCAAGGACTTTACCACAGCAAGCAATTCCCGTCTTGTGACACAATAGTTCCTTTCCGGCTTTGACAACGACTTGCTGAAGTACGCTATCACAATCTCTTGATCACCATTCCGTTGAGACAACACACCGCCAAGTCCTATATCACTTGCGTCTGTGTCAACTATGAATTCCTTGCCCGCATCAGGGTACCCCAAAATAGGTGTTTTGCACAGGCGGTTCTTGAGCTCCTGGAATGCAATATCGCAACTTTCATCCCAGCAGAATTGTCGCTTCTCCTCGGTTAGCTTGTGCAGAGGTTTGGCTATATCTGCAAAGTTCTTCACAAATCGCCGATAATAAGAGCACAAACCCAAAAATGCTCTAACCTGTGTCTTGTCTTTTGGGACCGGCCACTCCTTGACAGCAGCAATTTTCTCTGGATCCGTGCGGATACCTTCTTCCGACACTACATACCCCAAAAAACTAACTTGCCGTTTGAATAGTGAGCACTTCTTTGGACTCAACTTGAGGTTGGCACTCTGGATCTTCATGAGCACGCGTTCCAGGTTTTGAAGGTGCTCCTCAAACGTACGGCCTACGATGATGATGTCATCCAAATAGACGAGACAGGCATCTCCAATTAGCCCGGTAAGTACAAGCTCCATCAACCTTTCAAACGTTGCTGGAGCATTGCACAATCCAAACGGCATGACTTTAAATTGCCACAGACCCTTTCCTGTGGAAAATGCAGTTTTCTCCTTGTCCTTAGGGTCAATTTCAACCTGCCAGTAGCCACTTTTCAGGTCCAGCGTACTAAACCACTTTACGCCTGTGAGCATATCCAGCGTGTCATCAATTCTAGGCAAGGGATAGCTGTCCTTCTTCGTAACGTCGTTCAGGCGGCGGTAGTCAACACAAAACCGCATGCTGCCGTCCTTCTTCTTTACCAGCACCACAGGTGAACACCATGGACTAGATGAAGGTTCAATAACACCATCCTTCACCATTCCCTCAATCATGGTTTCCACTTCCTTTTCACGTGCTACAGGCAATCTTCTTGGCCGCTGACGAATAGGCAATTCTTGTCCGGTGTTTATTTTGTGTTGAACTAAGCCAGTCTTTCCTATGTCAGCTTCGTTTGACGAGAAAACATTGGCGTACTTGAGTAACAACTTCTTCGCCTTGACCATTTCATTCGGGGAGAGAACGCTGCGACTGTCTTCTAAAAGTGTGGTCACTCTCGTTTGTCCATCCTTGCTAGGGGTCCCGGTCGATAGATATTCGCACCGACGCAACCAATCCACTTCCTCACTAGTACCAACCAATGTGCCTTTTTCTATAATCTGTTCCTGATCACAAAGGTTTAACACACGTACTCCTGAGATGTCGGTGGTTCTGACCAAAGTTCGAGCCACTTTCCATGGAAGGTCATTGTCTACCCTTTCCACGAGTACACAACGATGAGCTTGCCCAGGACTCCGAGGAAGACTAACCGGCACAATCGTTTCCGATCTCGGCGGAAGAACAATCTTCTTAAGGCTGTACACATTCCCTGGTAACGCCCCTTCCACGAAAAGTTCTTCTTGTCCACATTTCAAAACACCTTGCTTAACGTCGATCTCACAACAATTCTTCCTCATAAAAGTCTAGGCCCAGGATGCAGTCGTCCATTATATCAGCCACGATGACATTATGCAGGTAGATCATGTTGCCTAGCTTCAACTCCATCTCCTTCTCTCCACGGACGGGTATGCGCTGACCGGTGGCTGTCACCAAATTAATGCGTTCTCGGTTGTATGCGGAGTCCCCAAGGAACCGACTTATAAGTTGGGAACTGACAACCGTGCGAGAGGCTCCAGTGTCTATGGTCAGTTTACACGGCGTTCCGTTGACTTCGCCCTTGATGATTAGGCTGTTCCCATCATGGGTTTGTGAGATCGAAATCCTTGGGGCTCTTTTAACATCAGCCAGCACCCGCCCCGCAGTCCTGGCTTTTACTCGTTTCCCTGCTGCTGCTGGGCGGTGCTATTATCCGCACTGCCCTCTCGAGATCGATCACCTTCCCTTTCTACAGTTCGTTTAGGGCAGCTGGATCGAAGATGGCCCCTTTCCCCACAGCCGTAGCACCTAGGGTTGTAGCCCTTATTGCGGTCCTGAACTGTAGCTGCTGCAACCTCCCTGACGCGGTGGGAACGATGATCCTGCCGCACGGCTTCCACCTCCAGTGCATGGGTCAGGGCGTCCTTAAGCGTCTCGTGGTGCCCGAGCCTCACAGCAGCTCTGACTTCAAGGTCCCGGATGCCGTCGATGAAAGTCTGCACCAGGTTCCCTACAATGAGCACAGGTACAGACTGGTAAGCTTTTCGAACCAACTTCTCCACCTCAAGGGCCCACTGCTGCAGGTTTTCGTTACTGCGTTGCACGCGATCTTTGAGCTGCGCACGAAAGACGTGTTCCAGGTGAGCATCGCCATATCTCGCCTCCAATGCCTCAAGGAGCTGCTCGTACGTCACTTCCTTACCGAGCGCTTCCAAAACAGTTAAGGCCTGGTCGCGTAGGCCTAGGGTGAGAGCAGTCATGGCCTGACTTTTATTCCAGCCGTTCGCTTTCATGACAGCCTCGAACTGGATTTTATAGGCCGACCAGGAAGAAGTCCCGTCGAACGGTGGCACTTTGAATCCACGTAGCGAAGGTGTTGTAGCTACCACGGGAGCTGTAACTCCATCCCCAAGTTTGAGGTCGTCCAGCTTTTTCTTCACATCAGCCATCACGTTGTCAACCCGATTGTTCACTTGGTCGATTCGGGTTTCAGCTTCCGACAGGCGGTTGTCATGTTGAGCAACCCTATCCTTCACCTCCTTTATCTCTTTCCCGAAGGTAGCGTGAAGGTCCTTCCTGAGGAGCATCTGTTCTTCCATACCGCGCTGCAGCTGCTCTTCCAGCCGACGGGTCTGTTCCTCCTGTCGGCGGGCCTGTTCCTCCTGTCGGCGAGCCTGATCCTGCAGCATCATCATCAGAGCACCTAAGTCAGGTGCTGCAGATGCAGGAGTTGCTGACGGGCCAGCCTCCGTGGTTAGCAACTGGCCCTCCGACGTTTGCGGCGTTGCATTACCAAATCGTCTCTGGTCCGTCTCCTGTTGGCGTTGACTTCGGGTACGGATACCCTCCGTGTCGTCTTTAGGTAAAATCGGCATATTTGATCCCACTTCTGACACCAATTGTTACGAACTTGGGGTTCGAGACAATTAAAAACTGCCGATTGAATTACCAAAATTAACACTTTAATTACACAACACTAATTACAATCTAAAATCATACTAATAATAAAACACAGTTCGCCGTTATTTCGCTTCGAAGTATTCTCTTGTATCGCCAATTCAATACTGCCCCGGTCGTGGTCTATACCGGCCTCATATAGGGCCTCAGATAGTTTCCAGAACCTTCTACTGTAGCGACATCTAGAATGTTCGAGTACATATCGGTCCCGAAATTTCTGGAAGGATCTCGACTCTCCTAGTTCTGCTACTCGACACTAGAGGGCGCTAGTGTGACTAGTGTTGCCATGTGCAAGACATTAATAGTGGCGCGCAATAATTTCATTTACTCGACACTAGGGGGCGCTAGTGTAACTAGTGTTGCCATGTACAAGACATTAATAGTGGCGCGTAACAATAATATAAAATAAAATATACACAAGTACTTAAAAAATATCTCTTAATGACCCTGAAACTGCAACTGTTTTCTAAACAAGTGCCGCTGTGATGACGCTATCCTCGAAATGTTATCTTTTTTGGATTCATAAAAGATTGGAATTAAAATGTTAGATATATATAAATTAGAATAAAAAATCAATCATAGGCTAAGTTATTTATCCTAAAACACATACCATAAAAAGGTAAAACCAACTGCCAATTATCAAAACAAAATAAGATCAACACATTTTTTGTTCGTGGCAAATGGAAACCCTAATAATATTTAGCAAATAAAAATATCTATTTATATGTGAATGAGACTATTGGCAGAATGTATGTATTTTTTTGAATTTACATTTGTTTATAATTATAATAACAAGAAAAATGGGGTAAAATATTTTACTATGCCTAGCAACATTTTCATTATACTGGCGTCTGTGAAAATTATTATTTATTATTTCGTTTTGATGAATGTTTTTTACAAAAATATAAGATGCTAGGCCGTACTTAACCGTGAAATGAGATTTATACATTTTTTTTCGTGATTATGTGATGAGTTGTGACACCGTTTCACAGTACACTACGTAATTTTTTTTTAAATTGTGCGAGCTGTTTACACGACTACGTGGACTCGAGTACTAACGCGCCAAAGGTCGTACTTAGCCTTTAAAGGCTAACTTGAAATGGCTTCACTTTGCGTGCGCCTACTGCGGTTCTAAGCCTAATACTTCTATGCTGTTTACGTATCTAAAACGTTATTTGATCATAGGACTATATTAATATAATATTATTGTTAAAATTTCAAAACACGACAGCACGTAAGGGCAACACTATGGAAAAATGTAAACAATCAAAATGTTTACTTGTTTAAATTTACATGATAATAGTCATTGGAAATTGTAGATAATAGCGGAAAACGCGATTTAGAATCCATAACAAGAACACAAAACGCAATTTACATGAAAAATATACGATTGTGAAAAAAAATTACAACTTACCTGAAAAATAGCAATCCTTCTTCATTTTTACGAGAATTTGAATTATATCCATTGATGCAACACTTTGTCATGTTGTTTTTGCTCAATTACCCTTTACTAATGAACAAAAAAGCTCCAAAATAGTCAAAATTCACTGTAACACTGAAAAATAACTCCGAAAGAGGCTTAGATGACAGACGACATACCACAAATTAGCGATGAGCGTTGAATCAACGAACTAGTTGAATCAACCGTTGATCTCCTGTCAACGTATTAACGTTTACCGTTTATGAATCAACTAGTTGAATTCGTCAACGACGTTTATGAATTTAACTCTTGCGTCTCGTTAACGCAACGAACTGAGCAAATTAAAAAAACGTTGATAATAACGTCATAGATTGTGAACAATGGCCATGTCATACAATTTGAACTCTACGTAACCTATGAGAGAGTTCATTTTCGAAATATTTATTTCAAGAATAGTACTTATGACGATATTGGTGGAATGGCGCACCCCGCTCGTACCGTCCGAGAGAAATAGGTTAATACTAGTTTGTTTGTATATTATACAACGATAGGAAGTTCACTTTCTTTAATTTTTTGATTGACAGTTTGTGACAAGTTGCGCGGAAGTTTAGAAGTTATTTTGCGGCTTATCGTAAATGTTTAGAGTTTAGACTTTACAGTTAATGTTTACAATTACAGTGTAAATTTGTTTGTGTTAATATAATTGTATATATTTGCATAAAATAGGATTACTTAACTGAACTGAACTGAACGTACTGGGGTAACAGTGAATCGTGGCTGCATTTCGAAAAAATTAAAAAAAAAACAAATATTAAAAAAAAAACTATAAAAAACGTAATGTAAATAATAATTGATTTTCGCACATAGAAACAGATGATCTTTTAAATACGCCTGAGTAGAATATGATTTATAGCTAATTGTATTCAATAGTCCTAAGCCTAAAGAAAAAGTATGAAGGGAAGGTAATCTAAGTAGAACCATCAATCAAACGATTTCCAATACATACATTGAATCAAATTGTTTCTAAAATTGAATGTCGTAACGTTGAATTAAAACCGTTCAATGAATTAACGGTTTACGTTGCAAGTTGACATTAGTAGTACGTTAACTCGTTGACGAATTTAACTAGTTGATTAACTAGTTGACAGAAGTTAAATCGACGTTAACATTTCGTTAACGGAAAAACCGTCAACGACCCATCGGTACCACAAATGAACGTCATCCTAAAATGGCGTCATGCTTCAAGGTGGGGCTTGCTGACATTATGAAAACTGTCCACAGAGAATTGAAGTCTAAGCTTATCTTTTTTACATTTGAAAATCA